GCCATAGCGCATGCCTGGGGTGGGTGACAGCAGAGCAGTGATAAGCAGACTCGGCACTCCAGCTGTGGTGAAACTACAAATACCATCATCCTTCTGTCTCTGGGAGTCACGCCTGCGGCTGTCAGGGTCTTGCAATACCTCATTGGTCCTGTCTCCAGTGCCAAGGTTGCCTGCCCCTGCAGTAGAGTGTAAGCTTCGGAGTGCAGGAATTGCCATGTGTCATGCAACGTGAGTGAGAACATGTGACCATAAAAACCAGACTACAAATCCCATTACATAGGTTTTTCACTCTACATTTTCCAGCTGCTGCAATTGTCGGTTGACAGCGGTTGCGCACATCCTAGAAAAAATTAAAAAACCGCGTTGGCTGCGAGGACGGTAACGTGAGAATTCCCGTTGGACGCTATGTGTTTTGTCATCCTAATTCCTGGGATTTTCCGTTGCCTTTCCCCCCGCAGCTCTCGTGACTCGAAACGCGTACTCTTTAATGGCTCCCCAGGAATGCGCAGACAGAACAATGCATCTGCTTTGGATAAAACGTTCATTCGCTGCAAATCGTCAAGATGCCATCGCTGCTGCTGCGCGTTCCGTCGTGGCTGCCCGGAGACTAGACCCCCGGGCCAACAGTCGTTTCGGGGGCCCCCGCCTTGTGCGCAGCCGCGCGGGTCGTGGGATGCCGTTTTACGGCCGCCGCGTGGCTCCTCTGTTACCGCTATCCCGGCATATTGAGAGGCGTTAGTGGCTTAATGCCTGAGGCCCGGTGCAGACCTGAGCGATCCGGGATCGCACGGTCCTGCACAATGCAGACAGCGATTGCCCTGCGGAGTGACAACCTTGCGGCAGTCGCAGGAAAAAGGTAGAAAATAATGGCACCCACAGCGCGACCGTCTGTGCTGGGCGACTCCGTGACACTGCGCGGATTGCCGCACTATCGTGCACGGTTGCCGCGCGGTCTGGAGTCGCCTCGGTGTGCACTGGCCCGCATGGAACTTGTAGTTCCACAACAGCTGGAGGGCCAGAATTGCCCACCCCTGGTGCTAGAAAGTTACAGTCGGATCTCTGGGGGAGAGGAGACTGAGGAAATGCTTCCTCCTGCCTGCAGCAGACTGATCTCTGGGGGAGAGGAGACTGAGGAAATGCTGCCTCCTGCCTGCAGCAGTCTGATCACTGGGGGGAGAGGAGACTGAGGAAATGCTGCCTCCTGCCTGCAGCAGTCTGATCACTGGGGGGAGAGGAGACTGAGGAAATGCTGCCTCCTGCCTGCAGCAGTCTGATCACTGGGGGGAGAGGAGACTGAGGAAATGCTGCCTCCTGCCTGCAGCAGTCTGATCACTGGGGGGAGAGGAGACTGAGGAAATGCTGCCTCCTGCCTGCAGCAGTCTGATCACTGGGGGGAGAGGAGACTGAGGAAATGCTGCCTCCTGCCTGCAGCAGTCTGATCACTGGGGGGAGAGGAGACTGAGGAAATGCTGCCTCCTGCCTGCAGCAGTCTGATCACTGGGGGGAGAGGAGACTGAGGAAATGCTGCCTCCTGCCTGCAGCAGTCTGATCACTGGGGGGAGAGGAGACTGAGGAAATGCTGCCTCCTGCCTGCAGCAGTCTGATCACTGGGGGGAGAGGAGACTGAGGAAATGCTGCCTCCTGCCTGCAGCAGTCTGATCACTGGGGGGAGAGGAGACTGAGGAAATGCTGCCTCCTGCCTGCAGCAGTCTGATCACTGGGGGGAGAGGAGACTGAGGAAATGCTGCCTCCTGCCTGCAGCAGTCTGATCACTGGGGGGAGAGGAGACTGAGGAAATGCTGCCTCCTGCCTGCAGCAGTCTGATCACTGGGGGGAGAGGAGACTGAGGAAATGCTGCCTCCTGCCTGCAGCAGTCTGATCACTGGGGGGAGAGGAGACTGAGGAAATGCTGCCTCCTGCCTGCAGCAGTCTGATCACTGGGGGGAGAGGAGACTGAGGAAATGCTGCCTCCTGCCTGCAGCAGTCTGATCACTGGGGGGAGAGGAGACTGAGGAAATGCTGCCTCCTGCCTGCAGCAGTCTGATCACTGGGGGGAGAGGAGACTGAGGAAATGCTGCCTCCTGCCTGCAGCAGTCTGATCACTGGGGGGAGAGGAGACTGAGGAAATGCTGCCTCCTGCCTGCAGCAGTCTGATCACTGGGGGGAGAGGAGACTGAGGAAATGCTGCCTCCTGCCTGCAGCAGTCTGATCACTGGGGGGAGAGGAGACTGAGGAAATGCTGCCTCCTGCCTGCAGCAGTCTGATCACTGGGGGGAGAGGAGACTGAGGAAATGCTGCCTCCTGCCTGCAGCAGTCTGATCACTGGGGGGAGAGGAGACTGAGGAAATGCTGCCTCCTGCCTGCAGCAGTCTGAAATTACAGTCTTTGCCATTAGAGATGAGCAGAAACCTTCACAGGAGCCTCCACGGATAGAAATAACAATGAGACAGCAATTTCCAACTCTTGTCATTCTATCGAGAAGAGAAAAACAAGAGTGTTTTGGCCGGAGTTGCACTTTAGGTGGAGCTGTCCTCATGGTGCGTCCGATAAGCCGGGGAGCGTCAGCGCGATGACAACACTCCGGGTTTATCTCTGTGTGGCCGAACTTCCTCTGCAGCCGCATGGTGGAGCGCCGAGTAATTTTAGCCTCCGCAGTCCCTGGTGTCATTTCCTATCTGTCAGAGTCAGGAAAAGTCTGAAGTGCCATCTGGAGCTGACAGAGAGGAGTGAAGGATGCGGCTCACCGCTCAGCCCCGTGATAGAAGGGGGGGGGGGGGGGTG